AGTATGTAATCTTTTGAAACTGGCTTTTATTACTCAGAATAATTACCTGAAGATTCTTCCATGATGTGTCTGTCAATAGTTTGTTGCTTTTTATGGCTGAATAGAATGATATGAATGTACCAGTTTGTTTAACCATTTATCTGTTGAAGGACATCTGGGCTAGTTCAAGTTTTTTAATATTATGAATAAGACTGCTATGAGTATTTGTATATAGTTTTTTGTGTGAGCATGTTTTCATTTCTCTAGGATAAATGCCCAGGGTACAATTGCTGAGTCATGTGGTAATTGCATCGTATTTATTTGTATAAGAAACTGCTAAACTTTTTCAGAGTAACTATACCATTTTACGTTCCAGCCAGCAATGTACAAGTGACCTAGTTTGTCCTCATCTTCACCAGCATTTGGTGTTATTATTATTTTTTAGTTTAGCCATTCTGATAGACAGTTAGTGATATTTTATTGTGCTTTAATTTGATGACTACTGATGTTAAGCATTTTTTAATGTACCTATTTGCCACATCTTTTTTGGTGATCTTTTGCATTTTTACTCCTCCATTTATTTTCAGACTTTGAGGCGAGGATATTGCTGGTAAGTTACCTATGAAGTTTGTTGTAATATGCTTTGATGGGAGGAAACAGATCTGCAGACTGAAATAGAAATGGTGTTCTCAGCTCTGTGCTAGAGTCTCTGGGAATACAAAGATGAGTAAGACAAGAACCTTAGCCTTGAAGTTCTAAAACCATCTGGCAGTTTTAACTGGAAAGAGAAGCAGAAAATATGTAGAAGTGTGAGATTTCCAAATTATGTAACTTCAAGGATTAATATTTGCATAAGCATCACAAAGGTGACCATGAATGATGGAAATTTCTCAACATATATAGGCCAAGGACTCAAATTCATTTAATATGAGTAAAGGATGCGAAGTCATCTCTGCACATAGAAGGCTACCCAGAGCAAGGGACCAGGGTGACAAAGCAGCATGCCAGCTACAGGACAAGCACACTTGGCCTTCAAATCCCACAAAGGCACTCAACTGTCAGTGTGAACAGTGATTGGAGTGAGAATTCTAACAGGCTCTTCCAGAAGTTTGTTCTGTTCCCTTCCCTCCTATTTCTTGGGCCTCCTAACTGTTCCAGAGAATTTGGATCTATTCCTAACTGATCAACAGTTGCAAGTACCTGGTGTCAACTCCGGCATGTTCCCAAGTGCTTGATTTGACTTTGGATGAAGGACATTCTTTCCAGGTGTTTCTTCCTCCCTAGCAGGACTGGGTCTCAGGCAGTCCTGTTTCTGCAGTTTTCTGCAGAAATGAACAACCCAATTCCTTAGAGTCAGTATTCACTTAATATTGGACAGTATTGATTTATGAAAGAAATGGCTCAATAGAGAAGAATAGCGAATAAATACACACACGTCTAGTTTATGGTAAAGGTGGCATTAAAAATCAATGAGGAAAAGATGGACTACTAAGAATCATCTGGGAAAAATTCCTACCTCACGCTATGTTCAAAAGTAAATTTCAGGTGGATTAATGGTCTAAATTTAAATTATGTATATATATATGTTGTTGTTTTTGTTAATTGCTGTCGAGTCAATTTCCACTCACAGTGACTCCTTGTACAACAGAACGAAGCAGTGCCCCGTTCTACACCATCCTCACAATCGTTGTTATGCTTGAGCCCATTGTTGCCATCCCTATGTCAATCCGTCTCATCGAGAGTCTTCCTCCTTTTTGCTGACCTTCTACTTTACCAGGCATTATGTCCTTCTGCAGGGACTGGACCCTCCTGATAACATGACCAAAGTACATGAGACGAAGTCTTGCCATCCTTGCTTCTAATGAGCATTCTGGCTGTTTTTCTTCCAAGACAGATTGGTTCGTCCTCCTGGCAGTCTGTGGTATATTAAATATTCTTCACCAATACCATAATTCAGATGCATCAATTCTTCTTCAGTCTTCCTTATTCATTGTCCAACTTTTGCATGCATATGAGGCAATTAAAAATATTATGGCTTGGGTCAGGCCCACACTAGTCTTCAAAGTGACATCTTTGCTTTTTAACACTTTAAAGGTCTTTTGCAGTAGATTTGCCCAATGCAATACGTTGTTTCCATGGGTGATGGAGATATACATATATGTGTATGTGTGTATATACATATAAATGTATATTTATGTGTGTGTGTATACATATATATATATATACATATATATATATATATACACATACATATATCATGGTGTTATTAAAAAACAAACAAACCCATTGCCATAGAGTCTATTCTGACTCATAGCGATCCTAAAGGACGGAGTAGAACTGCCCCATAGGGTTTCCAAGGAGCACCTGGTGGATTCGAACTGCCGACTTTTTTGGTTAGAATCTGTAGCTCTTAACCACTATGCCACCAAGGTTTCCATCATGGTATTAGCAAAGAATGTTAAATATCCCGTGGGCTGCCAGAAGAATGAACAAATCTGTCTTGGAAGAAATACAGCCAGAATGCTCATTAGAAGGAAGGATGGCAAGACTTTGTCTCACATACTTTGGACATGTTATCAGGGGGGACCAATCCCTGGAGAAGTACAGCATGCTTGGTAAAGTAGAGGGTCAGCAAAAAAGAGGAAGACCCTCAACGAGATGGACTGACACAGTGACTGCAACAATGGGCTCCAGCATAATAACAATTGTGAGGATGGTGCAGGACCGGGTAATGTTTCATTCTGTTGTACATAGGGTAGCTATGAGGCAGAACTGACTTGACGGCACCTAACAACAACAATATATACATACATTTTTATCTCCAATAATAGGTTATTATTTCTAATAAATAAACAATTTATATAATTCAGTAACAAAAATGCAAACTAAATATCAGAAAAGTGGGCCAAGGGTAAGAACAGGCAAATCACAGAAGAATATAAATTACCAATGAACTTATGAATAGATAGATGTTCACCCTCACTAGTAATCAAGGAAGTAGAAATTAAAACAACAAAATTGACTTTTAAATTCATCAGTTGGCAAAAATTAAAAGCACAAATAATATTCAGTGTTTATGGGATATGGGAAAGGAGCATACGCCGCCGGCATTATTGCTGTGAATATAAATTGATACAGCCTTTTTCTGAGGGTAGATTGGCAGGAACTGTTGAAAGTTAAAACACACATTGGGGAATACAAAGTTTGATCCAGTAATTGAACTTTTTGGAATCTGTTCCATAGAAAAGCAGAGGTGTGCAAGGATATTCATAGCAGCATTATTTGTAGTAGAAGAAAATTATAATCAGCCTAAAGTATCTGATAATATGGAAAACAAACAACGGCTTTGGCATACTGTAGAATGCTGTGAAGCTATTAAAGAAGGAGTTAAGTGTACAGCACTGACATGGTGGCACACGGACATGCAGGATGTCCTTGAGTGAAAAAATCAAATCTAGGAACACATGTATATGTAACATGATTTAATCGGAGGTGTGTTTTTGTGCCAAAAAATAAAAAGATGTTGGGAAAAAATACACTCGCATATTAAAAATGGTTACAAATCTGAGGTATGTAGCATGAGAAGAATTTCATTTCTCATGTTATGTTCTTGTACAGTATTTGCAATTCTTATCATAAAGATGTTGTGGTTTTATAATGTTCATAAAAAAAAGAAATTATAAATGGTAGACAGTTCAATCTTTGACCAAAAAGAAAGAATTTGGTTAAAAGAATTGCTGTAAAAGAAACTATAGATACCTACGCCTAATGAAAATTAAAAAACAAAACAAAAAAAATGAACAAAAAACCCTCTTTCTTACTACTATATTAATTTTCTGTGTCTAGAATGTTTATTTCAGTGATTTCTCTCTGATTATTTAGTTCATTGTGTTGAATAGACGGCATTTACGGAAGTTTTGTGAAAAAATATTTTGCAAACCTTTCCAATTGTGGTATATATATTACAATCTCCCCAGTGAATTGACTGTGAGGGGCTAATTAGTAAAGGAGATACAAATCTAGGAAGTAGTCAGTGGTTTTACTTATCTCCGAGGGAAACCTTGTTTCATACTGATAAAGTTTGAAATCTTTCCTGTGCTTCTTTCCAATTGTTTATTGTTGTCGTAACTGTCTTAATGAGAGGTAGCAATGAGCCACACCAACCTGCTTCATTCCTTTTACTAATTTAATTTCCAAGGAAAGTCTTCAACCCAAGTAAATAAGTGAATGTGGATGGAGTCGAATTCTGACTCAACGTGTTCTATTAATTGCTTCCAAATATTAAGATACATTCTTCAGAAACATCCAGACATAATAAAAAATCAACTCATAAAGAGTGATTAGGTGAGACGAGAGATGACTATAACCATCTCTACTTACAGAGCCCTGTTTAAATCGACATTAATATTTGCCATCTACTTTATTATAAATCAAGATTTATTGTAGAAATATACCAAAGATAGCACAATAGCAAAGAAAACAGATTCATCTCATCTTTTGAAATGTACCTAATAAACTCAACCTCTTGCAAAATAACTTTCTTATTCAAAATGGAACTGGGAATTGTTCAGCGCACAATGAATCATCTTTTGGCAAGTACAATAGAATCTTTAGGGACATTTCACAGCCTCTTGTTCAATTGTTAGGATGTTTTTAGCTTTCACAGGTAGGGAAGAAGGTAGCTTGTATAGCCGTCATCTTGTTGCTAAAATTGTACAATAAAGATTTTTCAGAGTTGCTGTTGAAATAGATCTTTTTGCTTTCTGCCTTCCTGTGTCTTCACCCAGAGCTGCTTTGTCTCTCAGAAACAATCTGGAATGCTAATGTTTTCTGGTTTTGCTATTTACCCAGTATTCAAATGTTAAACATTAATATGGGAAACTCCCTTTTCCTTACTTCATTGCCCTATATTTATTTAACTATTATTCTGCAGGAAGAAAATCTCATCTTCTTTCCCTCTCTGTGTTACTGTACTTTTTTATTGACAAACACATTTTGTTTTCATTTTTGCTTTTTTTCAGGAGGCTTTAGAGCTACCCCTCGATGATTTTGAAGTGCCTGAGACTGCAGTGGCATCGGAAGTGATTAAATATGAGTATCATGTCTTATATTCCTGTAGCTACCAAGTGCCTGTGCTTTACTTCAGGGCAAGCTTTTTAGGTAAGACCATGCCTGATGCTAAAAGTAAATTCATAACATTTGCATATAAGGCAGAACACATACTTGGAAAATTATTCTTGAGAGGAAAAAAAATAAGAGTTAAAAATAAGAAAACTGTGGGTGAGGTAAGGTTTTACCAGTAAATTTTCTCATGCTTCAGAAAGAGTGAGTATCAAGACTTCAGAGTGAATGATATCATCCCAGCCTTAAGACTGATCTTCAGATTCTTGGCATCCTGCCCAGCGTTGACTAAGCCCCCTGGCCCTTTTCTTTTCTTAAACAAGTAGGAACAACTTAAAGCTACAATGTTTATTTGCTTCTAAATTTACAGTACAAATTCCTTCCTATTTCAAGTGATCCCATTAACAGAAAAGCTCCAATGCCTTTCTCCTCAAAAGCTAATCATTATTTCCAGAACCATTTATCAATTAGCTTAAGCTATATTTAAAAATAGCACGAACATATCCTTTGGCCACCTATACATCTCAAATGCCTTCACTTCCTCCACTGCTGTTACTCAACTCATTCCCCTACCAAGGAGGTGGAACACCCTGTCTCCTTTGAGGCCTTTGCTAATAAAGCTTATTTAATCAGCAGCCACATGGAGTCCTCCTCCTGCAGTGCCTGGTGACTCCCCCTTAATGCTAACCAACTAAACGGGGTCAGCCTTGTGAGGCCCTGCTGCCCTGGGCTTGGAGACCATGACGACCCCCTTTCCGGCCTACCCCCTACCCTGTTTCTCCTTTACTCTCTGGCCTTATCAGCAGCATTTTGCATTTTGAACAGTCTTCTAAATTTTTCTGGATAGCTGAGACATCTGAATTTACCCAGTGATATTTTATTTTTAATTAAAAAGTAGCTTGAGCTGCTTTGAATGTGTATTTGGTAGATTTAATCACTTTCTGCCTTATATTGTTTAATGGTCTCTAATTTTGCAGTGTTGGCGGTTTAACAAGCACTTAGGATTTAAAACACAAGAACAAATTCTCATAGACTGCCTGGTGAGAAGATTTTAATCTGAGGAGCAGTTCCTAAGAACTGACAATTTGGGGTAAATTTTCAACAGGGGACATGGGGAATTGAGGACACTGATAGTTCACTAATTCACAACTCTTGCTGCAGATTTTAGACGATTATTACAAGCATTTGAAATGCTCACTTTATTGTAATTATATTTGGTTTGGAGCCCAGAGGTTAAAGGATGTTTCCTGTTAGTGAGCTGGGCTATACAAAAAAGTAGAAGGAGGTATATTTATTTACTAAGGGGAGGAAATTTTCTTTCTTGGTTTTGGTTTGCACTGGCTCTAGCCAGTACCTTCTGGAGTCAAAGACATGTCGAGGCTGCAGGTAGAGGAAATAGGACACTGCTTCTTCAGTACTGTACTTTCATAGACTGTAATTAGTATTCACCATAAGCAGTTAATCACCAGAGAAGAGCTCCCAGAGACAAAACAAGTTGTTTAGCTTGTCAGTATTAGGGAATCAGAGGTGTTGAAACATGACTGCTTCTAGCTGGAAGTGGGTCTTGCTAAAGCCGGTGGATGAGCTCATGTGTGTGCTTTGCTCTTATGTGCCTGCTCTTATGTGCCAACAGCTCCCCTTACAGTACAGCTCAGTAATTGTTCCTGTAAGTCCAATTATATTGTAATGACATGTGTAGACTTCCTAAGATCCTTTCTCCACAATGGTTTTCTATTTCTTAAAAACAGATTAGTGTTCTTGGGCTCTCTTGATATACTTTTAAAATACCCTTCATATTTGCTTAATAAAGGAAAACCAAACCAAGTCATTTCTTTTATATAGAGCAGTCCTTGCTCTCCCCCTGCCCTGCCCCCTCATCCATTTTGTGTTATATAGAATGGGCATAGGCTTTTTTTTTCTTTTTCAGTCCAGAATTCATTTAGTGCTTGTTCAGGTACATGAAAATATCAGAGCTGTTTTTTGCAAAGCATACTGAATTTTTCTTGTAGAGGAACATGAAAAATGTTTTTTTTCTTTTATCATATTCTAATAATTTATTTTCTCTTTTCTACCTAGCTTCACATGATGGGTGTTCTAAAAATGTATCACCCTTTACTCTGGAGTCATAATATTTCATTTATTCCCCTTAGTTCATTCTACTTTCTTACGATATCTAATCATTCTGGCCTCCATCTGTTTGTTATACAAATCTCTGTCAGTGTGGTCAATGGATTCCTAACGCCTTCCTCTTATTCCAGGTCCAGATTTTTCTTTATCTCATTCTAAGAAAGTTTGACCTAGAAAGAGGATAACTATAAAATTTCTGGCCCAGGGGTCTTTTTTGTTGCTTCAGAAGTAGTTCACTTAGCCTTGCTTTTGACAGATATTTAGCATTTCTTTTGCATTTGAATGTTACTAAAATTTAATTTCTCTGCTTTGCTCTGAATTGTCTTCCTGTTCCTTTTTTAGGAAGAGCAAGTAGTAAGTAGTTCCCATTTAAATAGATATTACTCATTCTTTTATCAACTAACTTAGGTTCCAGAAGAAATCCTTATTCTGTTTCTTGTAATGCAAATCTACTGGACTGTGAGTTCCTCTTACTCCTGTATATATGGTGCAGTATCTGCTAGGCCAACTACTGCTCAGGATTCAGCTAAAATGCCACTTGCTTTTTGTTACTCCCATGTCATATCATCTTATATCACTAGTTATACTATAACAGAGTTGTCTGTTTACTTGTGCATATACCCTATAAGAGAGTGAGCTAGAAGTTAGGGTTCTATGGAAAAAAGAGAAGAAGGGAATTAATACTGAATATCTACAAAATGATAGGCTTTATTCATGGCTGTGTGGTGATGGGGGGTATAAATATATGTATACACACACACACAGACACACACACGCTAGCCCTCTGGCACAGTGGTTAAGAGCTTGGCTGCTAACCAGAAGGTGAGCAGTTCAAATCCACCAGCTTTTCCTTGGAAACCTTATGGGGCAGTTTTACTCTATCCAATAGGATCGCTATGAGTTGGAATCAACTCGATGGCAACGGGTTTGGTTTTGGTGTTTTATATATAATTTATCTTACTCGTTTTGATGCCCACAGTATCAACTATGTCATGGTATCAATGGATGTTTATTGACTGAACCTGAATGAACCAATAATGAAGAATTTCTAATAATTTCTGACTGCAGCCCAAAGACTGAAACACTGTGTTGGTAGCTAACTTGAACTGCTATGATGGGTTGTAAGGAAGTAATGCCCTTGTCTCCAGGAGACCCAGGAGCAAACTATCTATATATCTTTACTCTTTCGTCTGTCACTTATCAGTCATTGCGGGACTAGTTGACTGAGGAGGGTGGAAAGTCCAGACAATTCAAAAGGGGGCATCCAGACTACCTAAGCAACTGTTCCATACCTACAAACACATATTTTTAGTTGATCCTTGAACGTGGACAGCCAAGTTGAGACAGCATTCTGCTTGAGTGACTCTCATTTCTACTGCCTGGACATACAGGAGCTCCCTTCCCAAGTGGGTAACATGAATTTAAGAGAAGAAATAAGTCCATCCCAGTATTCTTTTTTCCCTGACTACTCTTGATATTGTAGGTTTGGGAGAGGTAGTGGGACACCGGAGATACCATTTGCCACCCAGGAAGAGGTAACTGCATTTCTGTTAAGTAATAATAGTAATAGTAATCCTAACCTACATTTGAATAGTGCTTTGTAGTTTCCGAAGTCCATTTCCACCTAGTATTGCATTGATAGTCCCAAATGCCCACTATTTTTGGAGCATATTTTGTTAAATTGTTTGTATCATGCCATCCCCTTTTTATGTTGCATTTTCTCTTTTGGAGGTTTAGCTTTCTTCAAAAGCTGATGGCAGCATTAGAAATATGGTAAAAATTAGGCATATACAGAATAGCTTTGGGCTTCACCAAAGTCCTAATCTTGAATATTTTCCCCTTAGACTATAACTAGAGATATCTATATTTATTTCAGCTTGAATTCTGATTCATTTCTTCCCTGTTTCTCTTCTTTCCTTTGTTAACAATCTCTACTGAAAAATAGACCAAATGATTCTTCTCGTTTTCAAAATATTTAATTCTTTAGCTGACATACGGGTTTTTCTTGGGAACCGTTTTGACATATTTCTTTAATTAGTCAGAAGGACTGCTTTTTAATAGGGAAGGAAATATTTCTTCCATTCAGCAATGGAAGTTCTGTCCTTTCTGATTATCCATTCTATGACTGGCCCAGGGAGTAAGGATATAGAATTAAAGATACAGCTTAAATATTTTGTGTAGAAGACTTGTCCACTTGTTATAAACCAGAGGAAAGCTCATGGAGAAACAGGACAAAATAAATAGCCAGAGAATTCCTTCTCAAAGGCAGCATGAACCAAACCAGGATAAAGACCAGGATAAAGAAAAATAATGGAAGAGAATGTGGAATTGAAGCAGTGTATAAATCATTAAGGAAGAAGAAGAAGGGGGTTGTCTATGGTCAGGAACAAAAGAAGGTCTTTGGAATGCAGAGAAGAGAATGACAGGAAAACAGGAAAGATGGGGGAGGTTAGAAAAAGTTGGAGAATACTAGTAGATTATCCATAGCTTTATTTAACAGCTTACGAGGCAAGGTAACAGATTGGCTTTTCTGAAGAGAGTGGGAAGCACATTGCAGAAGGGGAGAAGGGTGAGTGCAAAGATGTGGGGCTGGATAGATCATGGCATATTTGGGGAACTGTGAGAGGCCAGATTGGAGCAGGGGTTTTCTTAAGATAGATTGTGAAAGAAATGGTTGAAAAGATATGATGAGGTCAAATTATGGAAGAGATAATGCAATGAGAAGTGGTTGGGGGCTATTAAAAAAAAAAAAAAGTGGAAGAGATTGAGCAAAAGTGAATGGGACCAAGAGAGGGATTTCCTAGAACAGAAATTCTGTTTTCAGGAAAAAGGAATTTGGCTTGTTCTTTTTTGGTTGCTGTTAGCATTATTAAATTTTTTAATAATAATCTCTTAGAGAAAACAACCTAGAA